AATGTTTGGGGAAACATTTAGCATATGTGAAAGAATTAGGAAAAAAAAAAAAAAAACTAGTCAATTATAGCTCCAATCAACAAATGTTTCTCGGGCTTAGCACCCAAACAAGCCAAGACAGTGATTACATCAGTCCTCCGTTCTAGGATGTTATATGGTAGCATAGTACGGTTCTTGAATGATACTTATAAAGGATCCGTTAAAATGTGGAAAACAATCCAGAATGTGGCCTTCTGGCTGATACTTGGCGCTTTTCGTACATCACCTACCCAACTGATGCAACATGATTCATATGTGACACCCTTCCACATGGCAGCCACGCGACTCAACTTCCAAGTCATTGCAAAGAGGCTGACCGCCCCCCCCCCCCCCCCCCCCCCCCCCAGACGAATTACTGAAACGCGAACTGAACGTCAACCCTCCTTCTCATAAAAGCCCGATTCACCTTCTTTTACAGAAGAACTTCCTAGACACGCTATACCCACGTCAGTATGAGGTAGTCAAGCCTAGCCCATGCCCACCTTGGACAAGACAAGCGGGGGTAATTCACAACTTGGAACTCAAATGGGAGGAAGCGATAGAGAAGGTTACAAGTCAGATAGAAGAGGAAAAACTGAAGGGTACTATGTTATTATCTACAGATGGGTCAGCGATACCGCAGGTGGGGTGTGTAGCAGCAGTAGTTTCAGACACCATGATTCGACAAGGATCCTTAGGACGAGCGGATGAACTCTCAAATTTCGAAGCTGAGATTATGGGACTATCTATGGCTTTAAATCAGACGAGTAACTCGCTCGTAACTGATCCCTTCACATTTGAAGGTGTATCTATTTTCTGCGACAATCAATCAGCGATACAACTGGTCAATAACCCTCCGAGTCTCAGATCAGGCCAATACTTAGCGATTGCAATCAGAGAAGTGATTGATAGCTCAACATCCGAATTCAGGATCAATTTTTTTCTGGACACCGGGACACGAATCAATTGAATTGAGCGAACTAGCAGATAAAGCAGCAAGAGAAGCGGCGGAAGAGCAGGACGAACCTTTAATCTTGAACTCAAGTCTGGGTAGCCTCCTACAGAGGATCAGAGCCCATTTTCACATTAGGCAATATAGGTTTGACCCGGGACGTGCTCAGTTCAAAATTTCGCCTAAGAAGATTGTTGATGCACTTTCGTTCTTAGAAAAATGGCAACGCGGTCGTAATATTCCAACTACGATCCAATCACAGCCCGCTCAATACGAATCTGCATAGGTTTAGCCTCAGCGACACTGACTTATGCCCGACATGCAAAGTCCCAGAGACAACAACCCACTTCCTGCTAAACTGTAAACGGTACAACGCTCAACGACGCAATTTTCGGAAACTAGCTAAGAAGGCCAAAATCAAGATTAATTTTTATTTAGTTAACACCTTGTTAGATTCTCCTATCATTTTTCCTCTCTTATCGGATTATGTACTTCACACCAAGCGAATTCCTTTTTTTTTTTTTGTGTCATACCTGCCCAACCAAAGAGTGACCTGTTCTAGTTGCTAGGAATTAGTTTATGTTTCTGTCTCTGTATTGAATTTTTGCTACCTACGCCTAGTTCATTCATTACTTTTCATCTTTGTTTGGTACTTTTTTTTTCTTTGTAACTGACCGCCATTAACTAAGTAGGATACAACAGTGTGTATGCTATGCGAAAACGCACTTTTTTTTTAAAAAAAAAAAAAATCAATCGGACCGAAACATCACGACCAGGTCGGTCCGGATAGTTTGATCGACCGGTCAACTATTTGTTATAGTTACAGTTCAATTGAATTGATTCAATATCAAAAACAAACAACCAGGCCATTTGTGATATTCATCCCCTCCTTTTCTCACGCTCACTTTAATATCTTCCAAGGACCACATCCGATCAATTCTACTAAAACGAAAAAAAAAAAAAACATCAAGAATGACTAACAAAAACAAGGAAAGGATTAAAGAAATAATAGATGAACAAACGATTGAAAAAGTTAGTACGATAGGTGTATTTGATTCAGAAGGATCAGAGAGACCTTTTGGTGGTTTAATTAGACATGGTACACATATAGTCATCTTTATCAGGTAACATCCATATCTATTCACAATTCTCTCTCTCTCTCTCTTTAAATCACACTCTAATTCAGTTTCCACCTTTTTTTGAATAATAATCATAATAATAATAGACACTTTAGCTGTGGATTTTGTCAAGAGTATTTATTAGCTTTAAAGAAACAACTTTCGGTTGATAAATTAGGTTCCAAAGAATTATTCATAATAGGTTGTGGTCATTGGTCTGTCATTAAACCTTACAAAGGTATGTTCCTTTTTATGATAATAGTAATTTTTTTTTTCAACTGATTTATTTTACCTTCTTTTCCTTTTCTTCCTCAAAAAGAATTATTAGACCTTCCTTTTCCAATCTATGCAGATAATACTCGAAAGTTATATGATGAATTAGGCATGATGTAAGACTCTTTTTTTTTTTTTTTTTTTTTTTTTTTTTTTTTTTTTTTTTTTTTTTTTTTTTTTTTATTTTTTTTTTTTTTTTTTTTTTTTTTTTTTTTTTTTTTTTTTTTTTGTCAACTAGAGAAATGAGAGTTCAAGTTGATATATATAGTTCTAAATAAATAAACAAATAAATAGATAATTTTTTTTTTTTTTCGAAACAAAAAGCATTTACATTCATATTACTTTTACTCGTATATAGTTAGACTCAAGACTTGTATAAATGTTGGTTTTACTTCCTTATTTGTGATTCTGAATTTTGTTCTGTTTTGTTTTTTTTTCCAGCTGGTGTTGTGTGTGTTTTGTGTGGATATGTTTTGAAATACTATGGTTTGTTGATATGAATGATAATTACTTGATCAACGTTGCTCTTATATATCTGGACTGTAGTTAAGTAAGTGGTAATATGAGTTAATTTCTCATGTTTGAGTTGTTTTTGTAAAGAAAACATCTCCAAGGGTAAAAAAAAAAGTTGAGAGAAAGGTTATAAATCATTTTTATCCAGACTAATTTTTTTACTCCAAAGGTATCATTATATCAAAACTTTAGTTGTATGAAAAACATAATCAGATGATATTCCTAAAAGATCATCTAATACAAAAAAAAAAAAAAGAAATGCTGATGGTTATATTTTCAGAAAAGAATTGTAAAGGTTCTTGTATAAGAAAATTACAAACTGTTCAAAAGATCTCTGACTGAAGATTGTAACAGATTAAGGTCCCTTTCCTACCTGTTTAAGCCTGTCTGCAAAAAAAGAAAAAAAGGTCTCTCTGAAGTCATGCATGTCATCACATGGTTGGTCAGGGTAGGTAGAATAATCGCAGGTCAATCAAAGGAGTATTATTCAAGAATTTTAGGTGAGTTGTTATAAATTGAAAGTTAGTTAGGGGGAGATGGAGAGCTCAAGTATGGGGTATGACCGACTTGACTGTAGATATAAGGTGTACAGTATATTACAGTATGTGGCAGTGTACTTTGAAATTAATGCTACATAAGGTCTACTTACTTAAGGGTATCAAGACAGTACAGTACAGGATGTCCGAAACCTGTTCCGGATCCAATTTCGAATGACGACGACCTTGGCAACTTAATTGAATGGTCAACGGTTTAAATCAAATCAAACTGATTTCATTTCCAGATTTATAAACATTTTTTCAACCCCTTTGACCTTCCTCTCTTCCCTCAACATCCAAAAAAAACTATTTTCGCAAGAAATAAAAACTTTGGCCATCGTCGTTTTCATCAAATATAACAATTCAGTTTATCAATCCAATCCAAAAACAAAACAAAACAAAAAACATCAACACATCACAACCCACTTCAATTCCATTTTCATCACAGTACAAATGGTAACCCCATTCTTTACCTTAATCTTACTTCTCATCATGATACTGATGTTTTGAACTTTCAATTTACTTTCTAACAATCTTTTTTTTTTTTTTTTAGTGCTTCTTCATTCCTCTTCAATTTGGTTGTCCGACTAAGATATCTCAATTAGAAGACGAGAAAAACGGTCAGTATATGAATCGTATTCATTCATTCATTTTTTTTTTCTACACACAAATCTTAATGGCTTACTAATTCATTTCATGCGATCCTTCCATTATCCAAAAAAAAAAAAAAAAAAACTGTTGTACTTGAACGGCTATCATTTTTTTTTCATCTGAACAGACATTCGAATCTGTCCTCATTGTCATAACGCAGCCGTCTACGCCTGTAAAACAGTCAGTATTTTGTTATATATATCCTTGTTTTTTTTTTGATCCATCCAAACCCTAAAAACTGATCCAGAGGCTTTCTTCATTTTCATCAGCGTACTTGGTTCGAATTTTGTTTCGTTCCTTTAATTCCTTTTAAATCTCAAAAGATTTGGTTATGTAGCATTTGTCGTTGGCAAGCTATTAAATTAAATGATGGATCTGGTCCACAATCTATAAATAATACTACTTTACCACCACCTGGTGGTGGTTATTCAGCTCAAACTCCTATGAATCCCAAAGGTCCTGATTTCAAAGCCCCTACGTCTACGCCAAATGAAACTCGTGCTCAAGTTTGAGATTCTTCTTTTGTGTGTGTGTTTTGTATTTTTTTGCTCTATCCATCATTAATTTTTCTTTCCACTTTTTTTTTTCGAATACAGCATACATAGACTATTGATGTTGTAGAGATAAAAAAAAAAACTTTTGCTCAACCTTCCATCCCCCCCAAACCCCGATGCACACTTCTTTTCACTTAGGTCGTTTGTATGGTAATTTATATAACACAAGAAAAAATCTCTCAAATCTACTCATGATTGTCTCATCTCAGGTTTTTCTTACTGGAAGGAATTTCAAAGTGTGCGACTTTTTTCAAGTCATTCTATTCTAGTTCAGTCTGAATCAGTGCTCAGTGTTTTATTTAATATACTAGAATCCAGATGGCCTTCAAAGAAGCTCGTTTGTTCTGAATGACCACATAATCTTATAAAGTCACGTCAGCATTATGGCTGCCTGGCCCAATGGTCAAGGCGCTTGCCTACGATTCCCCAACGTGAGCAAGAGATTCCAGGTTCGAGTCCTGGGGTGGTCGTTTTTGTGTGTTGTTATATCGGTAGTCTCTATTCATTCTTCACTTCCTCTGTTTTTTTTTTAATTTGATTTGAATTCACACTCATATTGGTGAAAGGGTTATTTAAGTTGAGAGGACTTTCTCTCATTCCCATAAGGGAAGCCTGTTCCTCCACACGCTATTGAATAGATGAAATCCACATCTTTATTCATATAAATGTATGAGGAACTCTGATGGCATATTAAGTCCATCACCCCCCTCCTTCATAATCCATTGATTAATATCATGTTATGAGGAGGTGATGGAGCCCTGAGTTCATTCTCAGAGGGTTCTTGCTCAGTGGTTGGTCACCTCTTGGGACCACACCCTGACACAATCCAGGACTGGCAGTGCAGACTTTACTGGAAGACATGGGTGGTGCTTTAGAAAAAGTATGTGGACTTGGCAAGAATTATAACACTGCATCTCAGTTTGCAGCCAATATATGAAACACCAACCTGTTAATCCTCAAGAAATCTCTCACACTTTGGACTGACTGTGACACTTGCTGGAACTCCCTAGATGACTGTATCAAGTGGGTTCTGGAATTGAAACCTGTCCTTGATATGATGTGCTCTACAGATCCAGACCTCCAACATCTCAAGTTTACACTGCAAGAGTGGGAAGGTCTGTCTCAATTCCACAACTTCCTCAAACCTTTTTCAGTCTTCACCTCAAAACTATCCAGATTGAGCAACACCTCTCACAATGTGACTCCAGCATATGAAACCATGATCACAGGCTCGACCAAGGTAACATTTTAATTTTTTTATTTTTAATTGAGAGCATCCATATATTCATATGCTGATAAAATTTTTTTAACCTTTGGTTTAGGCATATGAGCAGCTTGATACACATCCAGCAATCAAAATTGCAATTCAACCCATGATGGACAAGCTGCATGTCTACCATGATGTTGTGCTTTGCAAGCCTGTCTATCTGTGTGCAGTCATGCTTGATCTGCACCAGAAGACAGAAAATATTGTTAAAAATTATTACATAATTTTTATTTATTCATTATTTCCTTGCAAATCTTTTCTTATGTTTTTCTGTACACTGTCTTCTAAAACACATGAAAACTTATTAGATGTTTTATGTTTCTCTCTCTCATGCTTTGTAACCTAATGCCCATGAGCATGAGCATATATCAAGCCATCCTCTCCGAGATTTTTCTCTCTCCTTGTCAATTATTTTTCTCTTTTAATTGATCAAGGTGAGAGACTTGAGAGTGTTAGGTATAACACTGGAATAGAACTGAACAATATTCTATTCCCTGTTTTTCTGTCGAACATATGCCCCAATCACATCACACATCCAGAATCACCTGTTGATCACCACCTGCCTACCCCTGAAATGTCATGGCCAACATTTGAGGTGGTGCATCACTTTGAATTGGCAGGGGTGGTGCTCCGGTAGGTGCATCAGGGGCCTCTGAGTAGTCTGCACCAGGTAAGTCATAGTAAGTGGGGTTAGGCAGGCTGGTGTACTCTGAGAATGCTGTGGAAATAGACGCAGATGGGGCTCACTGCCAATATATTTTCATTGCGTGGAAGCTTGCTATGTAACATAGCATGTCTTCATGTGATACTATGGACCATTTTTCAAGGTCCCTACCTTGGAAAATAGACCTATTGCATCGCATCTTGGCCTGCTATGTGAGATAGCATGCCTCTATGCGATGCAATTCTCTTGGTGGTGGCTGCTGGTTGAGTCAGGGTTGGAGGAGATACATTCTTGAGGTGATGAGCAACTGGTGCTGACAGTAAAGGAAATGGCTGGGGTGGTTGATGGAGGGTATAAGGATACTGGTGGAACATTTAAGGTACATGAGGATAGTAGAGGGGAGCAGGTGGTGGTGGCAGGTGGGAATGGGAAGTTGTGTTAGCTGCTGCTACCATCCTCACTGGAGCTGGAGGACCAGCCATAGGGTGAGAGACTCTTGTTGGCTGAGTTGATTGCTTTGATTTCAAAAATTCAATCTTTGCCTTCAGCACAGCTACTGTGTTTGGGCACTGAAATTGACCTGAACAACCCTTATGGGACTCATCATAAGGATGGAGGCATTGGGAGCAGGTTCTATGGCTGATGCACATTTGGTGATAGAGATCATGGGGAAACTTCTGTGGGTTTGATGTTGTCAAGGCATTGATATCAATGTCCATTGCATCTGGATTGCAAGGGATAGCAACCAACTGCAGATGGTGAGTGGTATGTGAATGGGACCTAGCCAATGTATTACCATTAACCTCATCAAGCTGCTGAACTGCCAAGACTGCAATGTCCTGCTTGCCCAAAACTTCCTGCATGTTGTCCATCCCAGGGTCCTTGACATAAAAACTTCCTTAGGGTCTTTGATGGTGCCTGATCAGCTTGCAAGAGGGACTGCCTCCCAATTGCATCCATCAACCCCTTCTTATAATAATCAATCAGAATCTCATCAGATGCTTCAACATCAAGGGCAAGTGAATTGAAATGGGAGTTATATTTGCTGATTATCAATGATCCCATCTTACAGGCCTGAAGGTTCTTAAGGGCAGTGCTGAAAGCAAACTTGTCACCAAACTCTTGGATCATTGCCTGAAAAAATTTGTCAACTGTCTGAAGAGAAACCAGGACAAAAGGGAGACCTGAGCAATCATAAGTGTCTTTTACCTCCTGCTCAACAGCATTCTCCTTGATCAACCCCATCCACCAGTTGGGTGCAGTGCACCCAACAGGTCATATGTGCCATGCCATCCATCATATATTAGTGGCTTCCAAGGCAAATGAGTGTGGATGGGAGACACTGCCAAGATATTTGTATCGGATGGGCCTATCTGATGTTCTATCACCCCAAGATATGCGATGCAGTGTCAGTAGGATTAGGTGCGATGGAATTACTATTGGTATCTAATGCTCTGACACC